TCTTGAAATAGAGAATATGATAACAAGTCATTAAAATACTCATTACCAATATCCTCCATTGACTTAGAACTTCCTTCAAGTGATTGAATAAATCCTTCAGCCATCCAAAGCTCAATTAGTATCTTCCTTTGCATGACATAATCCTTGGGAAAAATTGAACAGAATGCAAAACATTGTTTCAAAGCAGGTTTTGGTAATCTGTCAAAACTTAATTTTAGGATAGATAAGATCCCACCATCTTCCTTTTGTAATTCCAGTGCATTCATTTTATTCTTAATTGACAACCAATCATCTACGTTCCTGCTATTACACAAAGTTCCCCCAATAACATTTGCAACTAAAGGCAAACCCCTACATTTTTTAGCAATTTCCCATCCAATGGCTTCCAAATCTGAAGGTATTGGAGATTTCCCGAATGCTCTTTGCTTGATTATAGACAAACATTCACCATCCTCCAGCTTCTTGGGATAATGCTTGTGTTCAGGAAATGTTCCCATTATTGATGCTACCCTTTCATCTCGAGTGGTCACAACAATCCAACTCCTCGAATTGTTACCTACTCCTAGCAGATGACTCCTTAATTTTTCCCACTCATTCCTTTCTAAGTTCCACACATCATCTAATATAAGAAGATAGTTTTTCCCTGCCAACTCATTTTGTATGGCTTGAATGACAGTATCCAAATTTGTAATATTTCCATAACCATGTCCGGTCACAGACTCTAACATCTCTTTTAAAATTCTTTCCACATCAAAATTTTCAGACACACAAACCCACATTATTTTAGCAAAGTCCTTTTTGATGCGCTCATTGTTGCGCACAGATTGTGCTAAAGTGGTTTTGCCTAAACCCCCCATACCTATAATAGATATGACACGAAGGGGTAGTTGATTATTAGAGTCTGTTAACAACTCCACTATTCTGGAGACATCATCATCTCTCCCTACAACTTGTGACACATCACAAGAAGAGGTAGTCTGTGAGTTTCCTCTTCTCTGTTCCACACCCTGACCAGCAACCATGGGTAGAAGTCTAAGACCTTGGGCCTCCTTGTTAATATCATCCATAGACGCAATAACATTTTTAATCTTCTTAGCCATCTTCATCTGAAATATAAGAGGATTGGACAGGGAAAAGAAGTAACACACCTTTCTCTTCATATGGTTTTGAATTTCTATTTTGCGCTTCCAATTTTCGTAGGCAACCTCGTCCACCACGTCGTCAGCATCACGAGCCGCATCTCTCAGCCTCTCTAGCCACAGCTTGACAGTGTGGCTTGTCAACTGCCTTTCTCCTGCATCTTGCAACAATGCTTGGATCGTGGTTAGTTTGCCCTCAAGCCTCCCAAGCTCCGCCTTCCAGCTCACCGCAAGGTTGATTTGATCCACAATAGCCGAAGTCAGCTTGTTTATTGTGACATCTACAATGGGAGTGAGGAAAAGTTCAGCCATTTGTTCTAGGATTGGTGATGGGAGAAAAGATATGTTTATCGGAGAGTTTGTATGCAAAGTGAGAAAAGAGAACAATGTCCCGGTGCATATAATGACAGCAATTTGCAAAAGAGAGAGAACAATTTTCTTTGCAAACTAACAATATTCCTTTTCTTCGGAAAAAGAAAAGAATAATTTCCCTTTCTTTTATGAAAGAAAAGAATAATGCCTTGGTACATATGATTACGCTAAGTTAAGGTTTATTCCTTACAGAAAGTCATGGCATGCACTTTTTAATTTCTTATTCAGGGTGTACATCTTTTCATTCTAATTTAGTCTGTAATTATAATTATATAAGTAATTAGTAAAGTTTAGATAAATATATATAGATTACTGTTAATGAATTGCGTATTTATCTTTCGTAGATTACATTAAATTGAAGTTGATCATAGAATATTTGAACAAAAAGGACTTTGTTTTTAATTGTTAAGCTGTGTTGTAATTATAGATTTTTTTGGTTTTTATTATTTTTAAAAAATATTAATTAAAATTAATAAAAATATAAAAAAATAATTAAAATAAAATTGCATATTTTTAGATAAAGCAACGTGTAAAAAAGCCAATACAAAACAGGGTCAGACGAAGTGAAAACCATAACAGCATACCATAAAGTGGAGAAAAACACTTAAAAAGACCAAGAGCAAATGCCAAAAAAAAAAACAGTCAGTGAGTCCAAATGGAGAACAAGGTCGACAATGAACGGCGGTGCCATTTCTAGGTGTTTGGCCAACTCTCGGTACTTGGAATGGAATTGCCTCATCTTAACATAATAAATAATGTTAAAAAAATGGTTATTAACATGGGATTTGTGGGGGTGTTTGTCTCACATGTACGTATGAATTAAGTGTTATATATGAGATTTTATGTAATTTTAAATTAATTAATTTTAAAGTTATAATGTATTATATTTTTATATTATTATATTATTATTCAAAAATCAACTCCTTAAATGGAGTTCCTCTCAGATTATGAAGTGTTTATCTCATATTATTTATATATACATAAATTAAATAATATATATATGAAATTTTACAAAACTCTAAATTAACCAATATTACAATTATAATATATTTTATCTTTATACCCTTTCATTTCTTAAAAAAACAAGAAAAAAATCCGCAACATCTACGGGGATGGCTCAGCTCTCAGACTGAAGATATCACAATTTCAATTACAAAATAAATTTTCAAGTTTCCTCTTCATTTTTGGGCGAATTAACGATTTAGTTTAGCTTATTAAAATAGGCCCAGTGGACTCCATTGTTAACGAGATTTAAAGCAGATGGATTGATTCTGATAGAATAGGCCCGCAAAACACTAAGTATAAAAACGAAATGTAGGCCCACCAGGGACCGGGATTTAATATGAACAAAACTTCCTCAATCGAACACAATAAATCCTGCACCAGGGCTACCGGCCCACTTGGTAATAGTGCACCCCGGCATTTCCAATATTTGGGTTATTCCCCCACCCCGCAAATTGGAATGAGTTCAAACAAATAAAAATGTAAATAAGTCCTGCCACAGAAACAGAAATGTAACTAGGTCATTTTGAATTATTAGGAGGTCCTGTTTTTTTGAAAATTCCTAAATTTAATTATATAGACAATAATAGTTTTTTTTTTAGAGGAAATGAGAGAATATACTTTTTCTCATGTAGTACTACCATTTGAAGTTGAATGGAGGTAAGGATGACAATTTCTCCTTATTCCTCCTGAAGGAATCCCCATCATGGGGTAGCGGGTTGGGATCTTATTTCTCGTAAAATTTTAAAAAATAAAAAATAGTAGTAAATTAAACACAATTTAAATATTTAATTTATAGTTATAGGTATACTCATTACTCATTCTTAATTTTAATCCAATACTAAATTATTTTAAACCAAACCAAATTCAACTCTCTTTATTTACTTTAACTCAAGTATTTCAAATATTTTATTTTAAAATAATAAATTAAAAATAATTAAATTAACTTGTTAATATAGAATGGCAGAGGGATTCCTACAAGTAACGAGCAGGGACGGAGCTAGACTTATGGGTAAAGGGGACTAAATTATAAAATCTTTCAGAGTTATAATAAGTTTGCATTAGTATAACTTACATTAATTTTTAATCATTAATTATGTAATTTGTTAATAGAGTTATGTGTACTTTTAATTATAGGTTTAAAGTTTGATGCATAGCTTTTAGTTACAAAAATTATGTCAATTTTTATATTAATCACTGTAAATGATCTAAATAACTTAATGACAATTTTTTTTTACTAAAAATAAGAGATTTTAAATTCAAGTTACATAATATATTGGTGCAGTGAGATAAAAAATGAGAGATGATTGCTTCTCATTATACAACCAAGATAAAAGAAAAAATTTTATCTATGATAGCAAGTTCTCACCTCCATAATTATCAATTACCAATCTTTGCAAATTCGGGTGAAGTCAGAGGCCTTCCAAAACTTCCTCATCAGGATTGCTTTCTAATTCTAATTCCCTCCTACGATCCCACAGTAATCTCAACTCGTTAACTACTTTCTCATGTAATTTTGCTCCCTTTGTCTGATTTGTCTTTAACAAGCTCGAGATTCAAGATCTCCAATCCTCCCTTGAGTATGCTTAAACTGCCCAATTCTTCAATTTTACGGCCCTTTCTTGTTCCCACTTAGATGGATGGCAACGTTTGAAGACTAGTTAGCCTCCCAATGTTTGCAGGCATGCACTCCACATCACTGAACCGAACATGCCTCAAGTTGATTAAACAGCCAATTCCTTCTAAAGGCATTTTCAGATATTCGCCATCCATGAATCTAAATGTTTGCAAATTATACAACTTGCTAATGGATTTAGGTAGCTCTTTTGTTTTAGTTTCTGAAATGTCCAAGAACCTCAAACTCTTCATGTTATCAAAACAAAATAGTAATTCTTCAATATCGACACCATACAGATTGAGAACTTGTAGCCTTTTAAGATCTACCTGTAGAGCACTGAAAAAACCATACTTTGAAAATAAAGTGTGCAGATTTTGAGCAACATCTCCTAAAATTGTAGGCACCATTAATTTCCACACCATAAAGGAGATTCAAATGTTGAATATTATTAGAAACGTTGAATTCAGAAATAGGTTCCAAAATCATTGTCTCATGTTTTGAAATAGATTGAGCAAGATGATGAATTAAATCATTCGTTTTGCATGTACTGACATACCCATTATATGTTTCCTCAACTTGAAATAGACAATATGATAACAAGTCATTGAAATACTTGTTACCAATATCCTTTATTGACTTAGAACTTTTTTTAGGTGACTGAATAATTCCTTCAGTCATCCAAAACTCAATTAGTATCTATTTCTCCGTAACATAATCTTTAGGAAAAATTGAACATAATGCAAATTATTGTTTTAAAACTGATTCTGATAATCTATCAAAACTTAATCGTAAGATAGATAAGATCCTACATTCCCCCTCTGGTAATTCCCATGCATTCATATTTTTAATTGACAACCAATAATCTTTACTCATGTTATTCCGCAAAGTTCCCCCGATGACATTTGCAACTAAAGGCACACCTCTACATTTTTTAGGAATCTCGCTTGCAATCACTTCCAAGCCAAAATGTGAAGGTATTGGAGAGTCCCCAAATGCCCTTTACTTGATTATAGACAAACATTCATTATCCTCCAGCTCCTTGAGATGATGCTTGTGGTTAGCAATTGATGCTACCCTTTCATCTCGAGTAGTCACAACGATCCGACTCCTCAAATTTTTGCCAATTCCTAGCAAACTCCTCCTTAATTCTTCCCACTTTTGGTTTTCCAAGTTCCACACATCATCTAATATGAGAAGATAGTCTTTTCTAGTCAACTCATTTAATTTATATGTTTTAAATAATAGTATCCACATTTATAATATTTCCACAAGTACTTCCAGTCACAAACTCTAATATCTCCTTTAAAATTTTTCCACATCAAAAATTTAAAATACATAAACCCATATTATTTTACCAAAATCTTTTTTATATGCTCGTTGTTGCGCACAGATTGTGCTAAAGTGGTTTTACCGAGATCCCCATACCTACAATAGATAAGACCCAAAGAGGTAGTTGATTAGTAGAGTTTGTTAGCAACTCCACCGTTCTGGAGACATCACCATCCCTCCCTACAACTTGTGACATGTCACAAAAAGAGTGAGTTTGTGGGTTTCTTCTTCTATGTTCTAGATCCAGGCCAACAGGTTTGGGTTGAAGTCCAAACCCTTGCGCCTCCTTGTTAATACCATCCACAGAAGCGATAATTCTTTTAATCTTCTTGGCCATCTTCATCTGAAATATAAAAGGATTGGACAGCGAAAAGAAGTAACACACCTTTCTCTTCATATGGTTTTGAATTTCTATTCTGCGCTTCCAATTTTCATAGGCAACCTTGTCCAGCACGTCGTCGGCCATCACTAGCCACATCTCTAAGCCTCTCTAGCCACAGCTTGACAGTCGGGTTCGTCACCTGCCTTTCTCCTGCATGTTGCAACAAGGCTCAGATCATGGTTAGTCTGTTCTTTAGCCTTCTAAGCTCCTCCTTCCAGCTCACCACAAGGTTGATTTGAGCGGCGGCAATGGCCGAAATCAGCTTCTTTATTGTGGCATCTACAATGGGAGTGAGGACAAGGTCAACCATTTGCGCAAGGCTTGGTAGTGGGAGAAAAGATATGCTTATCGGAGAGTTTGTATGCAAATCAAGAGAAAAGAACAATGTTCTGATGCATACATATGATTGTACTTTGTAAAAGACAGAGAAGTATATATATATATATATATATATATATATATATATA